TTAAGAACATAAATAAATGTTCCATTTTCATTGGACTTTAATATGTATGCATATATATATATATATATATATATATATATGCATACAAAAGAAAGTCCAATGAAAATGGAACATTTATTTATGTTCTTAATGAAAGATTTATTTATTTATATGGCACTTTATTCATTTAACAATTTAATTAATTTAATTACTTGATTTTAATTTTTTCCATTTATTAATTTTTTTATATATATTTAAAATTTTGTTAGTGACAAATTCACAAAAATGGCACTTTATTCATTTAATGATTTAATTACCACACACACACACAATACATAGATACATACATACACACACACACATATATATATATATATATATATATATATATGCATACATATTAAAGTCCAATGAAAATGGAACATTTATTTATGTTCTTAATGAAAGATTTATTTATTTATATGGCACTTTATTCATTTAACAATTTAATTAATTTAATTACTTGATTTTAATTTTTTCCATTTATTAATTTTTTTATATATATTTAAAATTTTGTTAGTGACAAATTCACAAAAATGGCACTTTATTCATTTAATGATTTAATTACCACACACACACACAATAATACATACATACACACACACATATATATATATATATATATATATATATATATATTCCATTTATTTATCTTTTATATATATTTAAAAAAAAATTGTGTGTGTGTGTGTGACAAATTCACAAAACTATGAGCTGCAAATTGAGGGATGAGTCTAAATTGTCTGAATTATTTGTGGTACTTGGCCTAGTACATTAGCACATTTTTTGAGATTTTAAAAACGGCATAAAAAATAGTGATAAATGATATTTAGTTAGTTAGCTAAACCCTTAAATGTTAAAAACATGCAGTTGAAAGTGACTCACGGTGCAGTGGATCCACCTGTTGACTCACAGTTGAGTGTCAGTTTAATGGGCTCTTCTGGCTTTTGTAGAAACTATTACACACTCTAAGACAACGCATTACGCAGATAAATTCCACCATCCACGGGCCATTTTTCACTCGGTTATCTTTAGCTTTCCACTGGACCATGCAAACGCAGCACAGAACACACAGAAACACGGACACCCCTCTGTGTGAGAGATAGACGACTGACCTCCACATGCTTCTCATTTGTTAAAGGAGCGCACCAAAGCCTCAACGGGGGGTGTTTGTCAAGAACACTGACAGACTGCGAAATTACACATCTGACGGGTGTGAATGTAGTCTGGAGTGAGTCTGGTACAGTCTCACGTTCTCGCTGTCATCGTCCACAGTGCTAATACATGAAAAATGCTGTTAAGATTCAAAGCATCCCGGCGTAGTATTGAGATGGATGTTTCAATCTTCACAGTGTTACATATATATGCCTTTTCAAATTTGGGGTCAACAAGATTAAAAAAAATTTTTTTTTAAAGAAACAAATACTTTTATTCAGCAAGCATGCATTAAATTGATCAAAAGTGACAGTAAAATATTTATAATCTTACAAAAGATGGTTATTTCTCGATGTTATAGTGAATTAAAAACATTGTATGTAATTTCGTATGTAACGTCCCACTGCCGAACTCTACTAGAGCCAATGAGCAACACATCTATTTTATATAGATAGTATCCTGAAAGTATGTACATTTAGAATGAAGGTGATGTTTTTCTGGTTCCATTGAGTGCTAAATTCTCCCAAACTCATGGAGAAAACCTTCCAGAGCTTCGGAAACAGAATTCCATCCTGGATTCGGCACACGTCACTCCCTGCTCCACTATGGGAAATGGCTTAAGCGAGACCATGTGCGTGACCGTGTGTGTGTGTATGTGTGTGTGTGTGTGTTCTGCAGTGCTTTGACTGTATGCACTGATGTAATAGGATCCTGTAGCCTGGGAGACATGCTTTTCTCTCTCTGTTTCTATGTAAAGGTGCTTATTTGGTGCAGCAACTGGAGTATGTGTTTATTTTGGCCATAATTCTGCTGGTAGATTCAATTAGGCGTCAGGAACTTTTATTCCCCAGAGCGCACATGCAACATTCCTCAAATGCAGCGCAGTGTTTTCAAGAGTAAACAGTAATGAGTACACACACCTTAATGCACCCACACACACACACACACACACACTACGCTGCCCTCTGGCTCCATTCTAATCCAAAAATCAGATTAAACAATCCCCAAATTCAATTATTTTTTTGCCTGATCAATTGCAGGTCACAGAGATCTACAGATATGTATCTACATGTGTGTGTGTGTGTGTGTGTGTTATTTTAACAATACAGTCGCAGCTAAAGGCACAACATACCTTATCTCAAGTCTCTTGTTGCTTTTATAAAAACTCAAAAGAAAACCACTACAAACTCCTTTTTTGAAACCCAGGGGATTTTTTTACCCAAAAAACAAGCACACGTTA